GGAGGAGGAGGAGGAGCCCCCCGGGTCGGCCAACTCCTGGGCTGTCCTGCCGCCCAGCAGGCGCGGCGTGGAGCGGTGGCGCGCAGGCGGCGGGCGGGCAGACAGAATCGGGGCCGCCAGGAGTAGGAGTAGGAGTAGGAGTAGGAACCAGTGGCGATGCCAGTTGGATGGAGGGCTAACCACAGCCTCGCTGGGCCCTGTCGGCCTTGCTGAGGAATTTGGGGGCTAAGTCTTCGCGAGTTCTTCTCAGATGTTCCCGACCTCTGGGGGTGGGGTACAAGGAGCACGGCTGAGCGAGAGCCCGCAGTTGCTTATCAGCAACGGTTCCGCACCGCCCACAGAACCAGCAACCAGCACTTCAAGGAGACATGCACGTTGAAGTGGTGAGAAGGATGCAGCCAGCCCCCCCCCCGACATGGATTCGCCCTCCGCTGGAAGGGGAATAAATCACACGATTCACGTTGACAAGAGGCGGGCATGGAGAGGCATGCTACTCTTTCATCGTCGCTTTAGGCGCGGATCCAAAACACCTGACGCATCGACTCTTGCAGTCAGACAGGCGGTGCCTGGAGAGGAGGGCGGAAGCAGCGGCAGCAGGCAGCGGAGGAGGGGGAGGAGGAGGCGGAGGGCCCCCGCTCTTTTTTGCCTCGCGCGCCGCCACACTCTATTTGGCAGGGGAATCCAAGGAGGCTCTGAGACGCCGCATCCGCACCAACCTCGCACGCCGCTCGTGCAGCAAGAGTCGGTGGCGCTCGGTTTCGTGGGCTCTGGCCCTGGTGGCCGCGAGCCCAACCAGTTCGTCAACCATTGCATTTCCAATGATGAGCTGCCGCGTACCCTCTCCCCTGGCCAGTTGGTCGGCCGTGAGGTGGGAGTGGGCAAACAAGACTGCAACACGTCCGAAAGGCCGAGACGACATGAGCGCCCCATATGGCCGCCCAGATGTCAGCGTCGGCGCCTCGGGGACGGTTGAAACGTTGTTCGCACCAGCCTGTCACAACGGCCTCGAGATCCGTGACAAAAGCGCTTGGCATCGTTCGGACGTGTGCACTTTCCCTTCGGCGAGGACCATCGAGTAGCATTCTTGACCATGTGGCGAAAAAAACACGCACGAAACCGAAAAAAAACACAGGGAATGGACGTCCGAGCGATGGCCAGAGCGAGAAGCTGGCTAGTCGCCCACAGGGCCAGGTACAAGCAAGTGAGCTCCCCTCTGGCCCCGACCCGCCGCCTGCCACGGAGGGGGCCCAAAAATGGAACCACGGGGCTCGATGGAGGGGCGCAGCCTGGCAAAGCACGTGATGGCCAGGCCCACCCTGCGCAGCCTCGGGCTGCGGCTGTCAGGGCCTCCGCTCGCGTCTCCAAAAATGAGCACTGGTTCGGACGACGAGCCTGGGCCAAACATCCCTGGCTCGAGAGCGGGCTCGCCAGTGAACTGCCAAGCGTCACAGTCTGGGGGAGGGCTGACAGCGGTCCAGGGAGCAGGCATAAGTCCGCGCAGCCAAAAGGCTTCCGCCAGGTTGCATTGGGTGACCGCTTAGGTGCACAGGTCGGCCGAGTCGTCATACGGCGTAGCCCCAAAGTTGCACGAGCATTGCCAATACCGATGCAAGGGTGTCTCATCTTCGCTCCCACATCTGTCATATGTGGCTGTCCCCTGGAAGTTCTTGAGCTGGTCCTCGCGCTGCTTGGTCCACATGCCTCCTGACGCAACCAGGACCATGACTTCACACAGCCGCTTGCCATTGGGTAGCTGCGACATCTGGTGGACGAGCTGGATGTACGAGGTGTTGTCAACCCCAATCTCCAGCCCCCCGCCACAGAAATGCTTGGCAGCCTAGGCCCAGACCTGCTCCTCACACGACGCACGGATGTCTGCGAGGAGATCGTCATGCTTGTCGATGGCAGGATTGCCCGTGTAGATGGTGCCAGGGAGTTACCACCCCTCATACCGCTTGGCGCGGCCACGTGGACGGATCACGCGAGCGCCGCCCGAGCTTCAGCAGCGCGTGGACGATGGCGCCCGTGACGCCCTTGATGAGGCGGGCCTGCTCGGGCACTGGTACGGCTCGAGCTGCGCGTCGGCCGTCTGGGCAGGGCACAGCATCGCGGGGGTCCGCGCAGGGGGCCCGCGGGGCCAGGGCGGCAGTGCGGCGCCTGCCCCGCGGTACGCCACCTGTGTCACAGGCATCACCACAAAGCTTGCACGGCGAACGAGCTTGGCCACCGCACGGGCGTCACTCAGCAGGGTGCAGACCACAACAGACTTCTCCGCGACCTTTAACCGCCTCGCTTGGAGCTCTTGATATGTGGTGGTGATGGCGTCGGCGAGCTGCTGGCACACGGCCTTGCTAGAACCCTTGACAGTCCCCGACACGTCGTCAACCCACAAGCGAGCGCCCATGAGCGGGTGTGCCGTGGTGACGGTGACCATGACATGGTGGGTCAGCATCTTCGCGTCGCGACCCGAGTGCCCGATCGGAGCCTTTGAACCACACTCAGGGACGGGTCAAGCAACAAAGAGATTGCCTGATCTGGTTCCAGGCACCGTGGGGCCGCACATTGCATCAACTGCAGACGAAGAGTTGTTGAAATCAAAATATCCCACGGGATGCCATCATAAAACGTGGCAATATTGAGCACCCCGCGGCAGTACTTGATGTTCATCGCGCGAGCCAGCTCCTCGTCCAGGGCTCGCAGGAACGCCTCCTTCTAGCAAGAGTTCCCTGGCAGGGCGGCGCCCCAATGTCGAGCGCTGGCTGCGGACCACGTCTGCACCGTGGGCTCCCTCATCAGCGACCACAGGCGGCCGAGTATCGACACCAGCCCGATCGCCCTGTCGCCCGCGGTTTTCTTGGGCGTGAGTTTCCCAATGACCGCCAACGTCTGCATTGGCCACGCCAGCGTGGCCTCGACCGCCTCCAGGATGAGGAGGAGCTCGGCCTGCCCTTCGTACGGCAGGCGCTGGTAGTCGATTGGCGTGACCATGTCGATGCACGTGCATGCCTTCGCCTTCATGCGAGATGCCGCTCTCCCGACGTCCGCGACCTCGAGCTGCGGGAGCGGGTCGTCGACGGTTTGGATGCGGAATTCGCGGAACATCTCTATCACGCTTTGCACGTTGGGAGTTGCGGGGGCCCACAGTTGTTGATACGTCTGCGCTTTCATGTCCATGATGTCCTTGGGATGGTAGACCAGCTGCTGGCCCATGAAGATCTCCACAGGCTGTAGCTTCGTGTCCTTCAGCGATGTGTGAAGAGTCACTTTAGCCTCAGGACACAGCAGCCATGTCATGAAATCGCTGATGGAGGAAAATATGGCGAGCCTCTTGGCCCGCTGCATGATACTCTTCGCCGCCGCAACAAATGACTCAAGTACTGCTGGCACCGTCGTCTGGCAGCCCGCACGCAGGAGGCCAAGCCATACGTCCCAAGGGGTGTCCCTGATGGGCCTCAGGACGGTGTGAGCCCCGTCGGGACGATCACACGCAGCTTTGCGCGCCGCTTCCCGGTACTGTGTCAGCTGACGTTGGCCCGATTCTCTCTGCACATGCTTGTTGGTACCTGCTAGGACGGTGCGCACCTGCGCCCACCACTGGGCCCGCTGGCCCCTCAGGTGCACCTTCCAAGGATGAGCTGCCTGCCGCACTGGTCCCTCCACGAAGCGAGCTCTCCTCGCCCGCCGTGCTGTCCGCAGGTCCATGCTATGGTGGCGAGAGACGCTGAGCTCGACTGAAGATTTCCATGCTGCATACATGCCAGGAAACTACATTAGAGCGTGAGGCTTCGAGCCGAGAAGCTACTGACTGGAGGAGAGCAGGGGAGATGGAGCAGAGGCAGTCCTGCCCAGAGGCGAACCCGACCTCGCGTCTGCACTCGGGGATCTGAAACGCGGGAGACGGGGAATGATCACCATCTGGGGTCTGTAACGGACTGGGCCCAGAGCCATCGAATTGTTGATTTACATCGGGGGTGAGATCAAACCCTTGAATCGGGGGGGGGGCGCACGAATTGGAAGGGGGATCTTGCCTGCACAAGTCACTGGACTCCGACTGCAGAACCTTTTCCTGGGCGCTGCATCCACCAGACTGAGACCCTGGGTCGGGAATGATGGGGCGAGAAGGAACGGCCAACACATTCCCGAGCGCACCGTCCGCACAAAAGTTTTATTCATGAGCCCATGGGTCGTCCTCCTCGTCGGGCCAACAATCGAGCGATTCATCGGCATCATCTGGAGGGGCTTGACCGACGCCCTCCTCCGACTGGACGGGGACCCCAGAGCTCTGAAAACAATCTCCGATCATAGAGTTAAACTGAGCCATGCGGGCCGTCAGGGCCTCGACTCTGATGGCCGCCTGTCGGGCCCCGCGCTTAACTAAACTTCGATCCTACGGTGGGCTCCCTTCGGGGCCTCGGGGCTAGCGGGAGCCTGGGAGAGACCTCGAGGGAGCGGGTGAGAAGTTGAAGGCCAGAATTGCGGAACTCAATCACGAGGAATTGATGAGGCTTCCAGAGGACAGTTCGGACAGCATGGATGTTTTTAACGAAAGACGAGGCCTCGTGGCTGCACACCACATAGTCTAGCGGGGCCCGCGGGGCGGATGAGCTGTTGCACGAAATCGGTCTCTCGCAGGTGGCCCACAGCGATCTTGGCCTCAGGCAGCATGTCGCCTGAAGATGCTGCTGGGCCAAGAAGAATTCGCCGCCCTCGTCGGCCCGCTCCTCGTAAGCAGCCGCCACAGCTTTGGACGAGGTGCGAGCCGCATTATGATGAAGTCGAAGTTGAGCGTTCCTCGCCTTCTTGCCCCAATCCCTGACCTCGGACTCCGCGTGGATGTGAGTCTCTGCCAGGGCCCAGCACGAGTGCTTGCAATGATTTAATCGGATGGATTGCCACACTATCATGGTGAAGGCCGTGGCATTAGCATAGAACAATGTCGTGATGTCTTCAGTGTGGCCGTCGTCTTCGGAACCTAGTCAAGAAGGTGGCGGCGTCGATGCCTGGTCCGAGTCCTTGCCCTTGGACTTGGACCTAGCAGCTGCCTCCTTCTCCGCCGTGAACCTCGCCTCGGACAGCCGCTTGGCCTCCTCCTCGGTTTTCACCTTTGCCTGCCTCTCGGCCTCAGCACCTGGTGGCGACGCCGCCTCCGCTGGGGCTGGTGGGGCCTGGCCCTCGGCGGCTGCCTGCTGGGGCGCCTCCGACGGGGGGCCGCTCCGCCGTCGTTGCCCCTCCTCTTCTTCTGCATCCTGCCCGCGACGTCCTGCTGGTACTGCTACGCCTTCGCCAGCCAGGCCTTGATCTCGCACCCCCTGCCGGCGAGGTCGTCCTTAACCCCGACGAGCTGGGCGCGCAGCGCGCCCAGGGCCTGACGCCCCTCGACCGCGCACTCCACGTCGCCCGGGGAGCTGCAGAACGACCCGTCCCACTCCACCTTGAACGTGGCGGCGGGCAGGTCTGACGCCTGTGCTGCCAAAGCAACTCCCTCCGCCTGCGCCGCGGCATGGGCCGCCGCCTTCTTGGCCGCGGCCGCGGCAGCCAGGGCCTCCGCGGCACGGCTCTCCCTGGCCTCCGCCGCCCGGAGGCTCCGGCGCAGCCGCAGCACGTTGTCCACGCATTGGCCGCAGTGGTGCTCCGCGCTCGTCCAGGCCCCGCCCGCCTTGCGGAGCGCCTTCCGCAGGGGAGAACGTCGCCGTCATGTCGGGCTTGGCTTGGCTGCTGATCTTCTCGATCTGCTGCTTCAGGGCGGCCTGGAGAGCGGCATCCTCGGTCGCCTGGACTGCCTGGGAGAGGAGCTGGGCCACGGACGTGTCAGTCGCCGCGCCCTTGCACCCGCTGCGCTTGCCCTTTGTAGAGTGGCTGCGCGTGCGGCGTCCTCCCGCGGGATTGCCACCCGCCGTACCCACTTGTGGTTGCGTCATGACTTCACCCTCCCAGTGTACATGTCGCCCCCTGCACGCGGCGGTCTGTAGAGCGTGACAACTGTTGCCGCGCGTCGTGAGGATGTTATTCCATTCGCACCTGCTGCACTGATCGCATCGCGACCACAACATGGGCATGGTGTCGAACTGACTGGACTGAAAGCCTCGGTGTTGGTCACAGACTTGGCATCGCTCGGATGTGGGCATGTTTTTCCCCGGCGAGAACCGTCGAGGACCATCCTGGACCATCGAGCAAAAAAAAGCACGCACGAAATCGAAAAATGCACGGGAAATGGACGTCCGAGCGACGGCAAGCAGATCGTCAGGCTGCGGCGTGGCCCTGGGTCTGGGCTTCTCGAGCGCCACCAGAAAGCCCCGAGGATTGTGCGCGCGAGAGTGTCGGAAATCGCCCCGACGTCTGGTCACCCGCTTGCGCCCCAATTGCTCGAGGTCGGGCCGCCAGGAGAGGGGACGGGTGGCGAGGAGGAGAGCGGCAGGGCCCCCGGGGGGGGGGTCGAGGCAGGGCGGAGGGGAGAGGCGATCGCGAGGGGGCAGCGAGAAGGAGAGGGGGAGGAGGGAGAGGAGGCGGAGGAGGAGGAGGGAGGGAAGAAGAAAGGGGAGGCGGAGGAGACGGACGAAAAAAGAGGAGAAAGAGGAGGCGGCGGAAGAGGAGGAGAAGGGGAAGGAGGAGAAGGAGGAGGACCAGTGTTAACCCACGAATCATCAACGATGTTGCAATGCACCCTCCCTCCAAGTTCGTTCTTCACAGGTCCTAACAAGGTTTCATTTTCACTGGGTGAAATGTCCCGTTGAAAGACAACCATCTGAATATCCTGAACCGTGGCACCATGAGTGGGATTTCAACACCGCAAACCAACGTAACTGTTGCGTCCGGATGATCCTGAATCGCGCCAGAACATCGTTCCTTGGATTTGAAGACCGCGAGTCAACGCAATTGTTGCGCCCTGACTTTCGTAGATCGTGCCCAGACATCATTCCTGGGACGCTAGCCATAAGAATCCTTGAAACGTGTGTTAACTCTTGGACAAAGGTGCGCGGCGCTAAGGCGAGAGCCACATTTTGAAAAGGTACCGCCCTCCATCCGCGAAACTATTGCAATATGTTAGGACGGAAGCACGCGGCGCTAAGGCGAGAGCCACATTTCTGAAACCCCCCGCCCTCCATTCGTGAAAACCATGCAAACTTCAACAGGACTCCACGAGGCGCTAAGGCGAGAGCCACATTTTGAAAACGGCCCGCCCTCCACCCGTGAAGTTGTTGGAAAGTCTACGCTTGAGGATCACAAGTGGGGAGGAAGTCTCGGGCGAAACGCCCTGCTCGCCCTACCGACACGTCTCGGGGTGCGACATGGAGGAGTTATTCATTATGTGAAGGGATGGAGGGGCAGAGCCGCCATCAGTGACCCCAAGCACGGCCCGGGACAGCTCGAAAAGAGGTCCTTCGCTTCTAGGCCTCCTAGATGGATTCCGAGCAGATGGGGTCGGAGGATCACGCCGCATTGCCGATGCATCGCCGATGCGGCTCGATGTGGAGCCCGATTTGCTTCACGTCGACGTCGACGTCGCCGATGCGTCGCCCGCCGATGCATCGTCGATGCCTCGCCGACACATCGGCGATGCATTGGCGATGCGGCGCGATCCTTCGACCCCATCTACTCGGACCCCATCTAGGTGGCCTCTGCCGCTGGCAAGTCCGCACGCCCGCCCCGCCAGCGGCAACACGGCGGGACCGCCCTCGCACGACGAGGTCTTGGGGCGGTTTCGCCGGTCCTCGGCGCCTGTCCGGCCTCGGAGTGCCTTACAGCAGCTGCGCCTCGCCGAGAGCGGCCGATGGGCGCTCGCATGGTCCCGAGAGGCCGCCGGAGGCCCCAGCCATGGCACGAAGACCACGAGGGGGCCTTGCCCGGAGGCAGCCGAGAAGCGCAAGCAAGTGCGACAATCTGATGGTGCGTGGCTGCGGTGCCCCAGCGCAGAGTGGGGCGGATCGTGCCGCTCGAGCGGTGGCCAGCCTGCACGCGAGGGAGCCCCCGACCGAGGTGCCGAGGGGGAGCCCCCGGCCGAGCGGCCGAGGGAGCCTCCGCGGGTGGCGCCAAGAGTCAGAGACCGGGCACGTTGCAGCTCCCCAGAGGAGCGTGGGCCGTGGAGAGGCTCCACCGTGCAGGGAGGGGCCGTGGCCGCTGGCCAGCTCGTGTCTGCCGTGGGCGTTGCCAGCTCGGCTCGCGAGCGTCGCGAAGGGCCAGGAGCCACGCGGTGGGTGGGAGGGCCAGGCTCGCGGCGGCCTTCGGGTCAAACCGCCTCTCGGCCTTGACTCTTCCTATCTACCCTGCACAGACTTTCGACCGCTGGCCGCCTGCGCCGAGTGCGGCCACCGAGCGGCCCAAAGTATCGAGGCCATTGAAAATCCGGATGATCCTCCACGTGCTACGCACCTGTTGACAATGCAGATCTTTGAATTTCCGACACGCCTCGATCAAACCATCCCCCCATACCCCGCCCCTCTTCCAGCTGATCACCCATCCTAGTTGCACCATTCAAAGCGTTGGCAGGGTGGGCCAGCCGTTTCGCAGGCGGTTCCACTGCAATGTTTGATGGTAGAGTTTGACATGGTCAGCAGCTACATGGATGGAGAGCGGTTGATGTTGCACATGTTCTAAATGGAGTTGTCTATAGGAGTCTTAGCTCAAGCGCTCAAGCCGTAAAGAATGTCTACACTTGTCCCTCACCCTCTACTTTGCCCTTGCACCGTCAAATCATCCGAACAGCTTCCTCTGTATCCGCATGGCTTCCTCTGCTATCCGCGTGGCTCCCTCTACATCTCCACATGGCTTCCTCTATCATCCCCATGGCTTCCCCTTCTATTACAATGGTTCCCTACCTAGGCTCTGCCTAGAAGAGTTCTTACTGTGTGAGCTTAAAGGGCCGGGCAGTGTAAATCGCCCCGGGCGGTTCCCCCGGCATCCGGCCCGCGGTTCCCCCAGTTACGTCTCTTTAGCTTAGCGTTGCTTATCTCATCTTAGCTTAGCGTATTTCATCTTAGTTTAGCTTAGCTTCATGTGTTTGTGTGCACGTGCGTGCGTGCGTGCGTGCGTGGGTGGGTGGGTGGGTGGTGGGTGGGGGGGTGGGGGGGGGGGGGGGGGGGTGTGGCTGTGGCTGTGGGTGTGGGTGGGGGTGGGGGTGAAGGGGGGGGGGGTGGGGCTGGGTGTGTGTGTTGTGTGTTGTGTGTTGTGTGTGTTGTGTGTTGTGTGTGTGTTGTGTTGTGTGTGTTGTGTGTTGTGTGTGTTGTGTGTGTTGTGTGTTGTGTGTTGTGTGTATGTGTTGTGTGTGTTGTGTGCTGTATGCTGTGTGTGATGTGTGTAATGTGTGTGTTGTGTGTTGTGTGTTGTGTGTTGTGCGTGTGTGCGTGTGTTGTGTGTTGTGTGTTGTGTGCGTTGTGTTGTGTGTGTTGTGTGTATTGTGTGCGTTGTGTTTGTTGTGTGTTGTGTGTTGTGTGTGGTGTGTGTGTGTTTGTGTGTGTTGTGTGTGGTGTGTGGTGTGTGTTGCGTGTGTTGCGTGTGTTGTATGCGTTGTGTGTTGTGTGTTGTGCGTGTGTGTGTTTGGTTGTTTGTTTGTTTGCTTGCTTGTTTGTTTGTGTGTTTGTGTGTGCGCGTGTGTGTGTGCGCGCGTGCGTGCGTGTGTGTTTGCGTGTGTTTATTTGTGTGTGTTTGTGTGTTTGCGTGTGTTTTCCACGGTGTGTGTTTGTGTGTGTGCGTGCGTGAGTGCGTGCATGCGTATGTGTGTGTATGTTTGTGTGTGCGTGCGTGTGTGTGTGTGTGTGCGTGCGTGCGTGCGTGTGTGTGCGTGCGTGCGTGCGTGTGTTGGATGTTTGCGTGCGTGTGTGTTTTTGTGTGCGTGTGTGTGCGTGTGCGTGTGTGTGGTTGTGTGTGTATGTGTTATACCTTGGTCCGACCGTACGTCCCTCCTTCGCTCCTGACCTGCAACACGACGGCGAGAGCGACGCCGTACGCCATGACGCAGGCGGGCCCCGAGGGAACCAGGTCCCGAGGTCTTGCATTAGGTCGGGCGCGTCCTCCTACATGCGGATTTTGGGAGAAATAAGAAGACAATCGAAAAATACCCCAAACAAAAATAGAACAATATTCCGAAAACTATAGGGGAAATATTAGATAACCGAAACATGCTCAAAACTAACCACACAGGGTAGAACAAATCGTCCCCAGGCTACTTTGTGTTCCTCCTGTAGAAAGATATGCCCGACGTAAGTCTTGCATCTCGGAGCCTCGGGGCTGTGATGCGGCTTAAGGGGGAAGAGCTAGTCCTGGGGCTGGGAACCTGGAAAAGCGACGACAACACCACCAGGACCACCAGCGGGGGGAGCCAGGGGGGGGGTCCCCCTGGTGGTGTGCCCCCCCCCTCTCGCTCGAGACATCCCCTATCCCCAGCTCGGGGAGGCCTCGTGGACCTCCTCGCTGGAGGTGGCCCCCTGGTGGTAGTGGTGTCGCGAGTCCTTCCCCCGACGGGACGATTCCCTGCCCCGGGGTTGGGTCGGGCATGTCCTCCTACAGGCGAATTTTGGGCAAAAAGAAAAATCTAAAGGCTGCCGCCTCTGCCGCCGACCCCAAATTGGGGTTACGCGCGACGCAAAGGAGGTCTCATTGAAGTGGAAGACATGTAAATTTCGCTCAACCGGGCGCGCGTCCTGGGGATTAAGAGGAGGGCGGGGAAAGGAGGATTGGGGTAGGTGGTGCAGCGGGGCAGGACGAGCAGGAGAGGACGAACATTTTGAAAAACACAGGATGCATATCCGTGATTCTGGCTTCCGCGGTCTTCTCTGGGGGTGCTCCTGGAGCGTTCTCGGTGCTTCTTCGGCGGTCCTGGAAGCCATCTTGGGTGGTGTGGACGTCTTGG